CTTCCTCTTCTGCCTGCTGCCCACTCTCCTCTCTTCATTCCTTCTCTCTGCCCTGCGCCTTCTTTGTTATACATTTCCTTTTATTCCTCCTTGCTTATTTCCTTTTCGAGGTCGCCCTTTCAAATCTCTGCATTGTTTTAAAATCTCTTTTCCGGTTCATCAAGATTCTTGGAGCATCTTCATTCGTAAATATAGGTTTAAGTGGTCTGCTTTTCTTGTTTTCTCGTGATACAGTATATTTTGTGTGTGTACCCACCTATTCGTACCTGCAGGATCGAGCGTTAGCTTTCCGATCCCGCTTTCTAACCTTGGTTGTAAGCAATGACTCCTGTCTTACTTCTTAAACCTAGTTTTAAAATTATGAATAGTGTTGGCTTCCACAACCTGTCCTCTAGTTCTTTCCATCTCCCCACTACTCTCAGGCTAAAAGAAACCTTTCTAACATCTTTATAACTCACGTGAGTTTTCAGCTTCCATCCATGTCCCCTTGTTCTGTTGGTATTCCGGGTGCACATTTCGTCTATTTATTTACTTCTTTTTTTTATAACATCATCAGGTTCAGTTCATTCAGCCGCTCTTAATATCCCATCCCTTGCAACTCTGGGACTAGCCTCGTCGCAAATTTCTGAACCTTTTCCAGTTTGCTAATGTGTTTCTTTAGATAGGGGCTCATGATAGGGCTGCATACTCTAAGACTGGTCTCACGTAGGCAGTGTAAAGTGCTCTGAATGCCTTCTTACTTAGGTTTCTTAATAACGTTCTACGTTTTGCACGCGTAGGATACATTGTAGTCGATATCTGATTAATATGTGACTCAGGAGTTAGATTTGGTGTTACGTCCACTCTCAGATCCCTTTTTCGAATCGTCACAGGAAGGTTGATCCCCTTCATTGTCTACAGACCCTTTGGTATCCTGTCACCTAGTCCCATTTCGATAACTTTACACTTGCTCGTGTTGAACTTTAATAGCCATTTCTCTAACCATCTCTGCAGTTTGTTCAAGTCCTCTTGGAGTATCCTACACTCTTCATCTGTCATCACTTGTCTCATTAATTTCTCGCCATCCGCGAACATCGACTGTAGGACTCAACTTTTGTAGACATGTCGCTCACTTATATTTTAAATAGTACTGGTCCCAGCACCGATCCTTCAGGTACTCCACTCGATACGGTTCGCTAGTCTGATTTCTCGCCCCTGACTGCTACTTTCTGGCTTCTGCCTTTTCAGTAATTCCTTACTTAAGCTAGTATTTTTCCGCTTACTCCCACCTGCCTCTGAAGTTTGAATAGCAGTTTCTTGTGCAGTACTGTATCAAAGGCTTTTTGGATATCCAGAAAAATGCAGTCTGTCCATCCGTCCCTTTCCAGCCTAATTCTTGTTACTTTATCATAGAATTTCAGAAGGTTTGTTATGAATGATTACCCTTCTCTGAACCCATCTTGGTGTTTGTTTACAAACTTAATTTTCTCTTAGTGTGTGACCAGCTGTCACCTGATTATTCTTTCAACTACGTTACAAGAGATGCTTATCAGTGACACTGGTATGTAGTTCAGTGCCTCTTTCCTATCTCCTTTCTTGAAAATTGGTGCCACATTTGCATTTTTCTAGCAACTGGGCAACTCTTCATTCATAAGTGACGTCATTATACATCCTTGCTAGAGGCACGCTGAAGGCCTGCGCTGCCTCTTTTAGTATCCACAGTGATACATTGTCTGGTCCAATTGCTTTAGTTTCAACCAGTGTTGTTAGCTGTTTCATTACCTCCTCTGATGTCACCTCTATATCTGTTAGTCTCTCATTTTGGGTCATCTCCTCTTCTAATACCCAACCACTTGGGGTGGAGGTAGAGCGACGGTCTCGCTTCATTCAGGTCGGCGTTCGATCCCCGATCGTCCAAGTGGTTGGCTACCATTCCTTTCGCCCCCGTCCCATCCCAAATCTTTATCCTGACCCCTTCCAAGTGCTATATAGTCGAAATGGCTTGGGGTTTTCCCTTGATAGTTCCCTCTTCCTCCTCTAATAATGGAAGCGGCTCAAGGCCCGGTTGTGTGCACTCCATGGAAACTGGCATTCAGGTATTTTGGAGATTTCCTAGTCATTTTCTGCGTATGCTCTATCTGTTTTTCTTAGTCTTGTCACTTGGTCATTCACCTACATTTTCCTTCTTATATGATTAAGTAGTAATTTAGGTTGATATATCGCTTTGATTGCATCATCGTTCCCATAATTCTTTTCCGATACTTTCCTTATATTAATGTATTCATTCCTAGCTCTGTTGCATCAATTCCTATTGTCCTGCGCACATTCTTCACTCCCTCCTGCTTCTCATTTGTGCTTCCTTTCACTGTCTATTAAACCATGGGTTGTTGTATTCACTCCCTCTTTTTCCCTTTACTGTTGGTATAAAACTCTCCTCGGCCTCTTTGCATTTCCAATTGACTATGTTCATCATTTCTTGCACTGTTTTTCCTCTTAGTTCCTCTTCCAAATGCACTTCTCCCAGATATTCTTATATATTCCCGTTATCCACTTTCCTTATCCTGCAGTTTTGATATCATTCGGGGAGCTCTTGTTGCTGCCCTCTGCAGTTCATCTATATATGTCTTGTTTTTATAATCATATTCCTGTCTGGGCCTTCTATTGTTAGGTTTATGTTCTTGAGTTTATCTTGAGATGATTTCGGGGCTTAGCGTCCCCACGGCCCGGTCCTTGACCAGGCCTCCTTTTTGTTACACATTCCCAGGAAGCAGCCCGTAGCAGCTGTCTAACACCCAGGTATCTATTTACTGCTTGGTAACAGGGGCATCAGGGTGAAAGAAACATTTTGCCCATTTGTCTCCGCCTACACCGGGGATCGAACCAGGAACCTCAGGAATACGAATCCGAAGCACTTTTCACCCAGCTGTCAGGCGGAACTGGTGGGGGATTATGGAGTATCATAATCATAATCCTCTTCCCATCTGCAGTCAGAATCCAAAGTAAGGATCTGTGGCTGTTTTCATTAGTCCCCTGATTCTCTAGTTCCTCAAATTTATATTTCCCCATTATGAGGAGTGCCGCTCCCTCACCCTGTCTCTGTGTCCTTTCATTTCTTATCACTTGGTATCCCTCTGGAAAGATTGCATCCGAAATCATATTATTTATTTTTGTTTCCATTATTTGCAATTATGTCAGGATTTGTTTCACTAACCATTTCTTTTATTTCTTCTGTTGTATTTGATACCCCATCAGCATTGGTGTACCAAACCTAGAGAGTCATCTTGGGAGCTCTGTTACCAGAGTTCACATAGTTCATCTGCCTACATGTCTCTCTCTCTTGATGTGTGCTACAGGTGAGAGATGGATGTTGTCCTGTCTCCAGTAAGAGTTTGTGAGGTGAGAAGTGCCCGGGAATAGGGAGGGGGGATGAGAGACAGAGGGGATCTGAGAGCCAGGAGTCTGGGGGACAGATGAGGTTAGGGCATTTAGGGGGAAACTCGGGAGCAATGTGTGTGCACTCGCCTAGTTGTGCTTGAAGGGGGAGAGAGTTTGAGGTTTGGGTGTTCGGTCCCGTCCTCTCAACTGACAATCAATTGGTGTTCAGATTCTTGAGCCTAATGGGCTCTATCATATCTGTATTTGAAATTGTGTATGGAGTCAGCCTCCACCACATCACTGCCTAATGCATTCCATTTGTTAACAACTCTGACACTGAACAAATTCTTTCTACTTTGTCTGTGGTTCATTCGGTTCCTATGTTTCCACCTGTGCCCCCTTGCTCGTGTTCCACCCGTGCTAAACAGTTTGTCTTTGTCCACCTGGGCCTGACAGCTGAGTGAACAGCGCTTCGGATTCGTAGTCCAGAGGTTCCGGATTCGATCCCTGGTGGACGCAGAAACAAATGGACAGAGTTTACTTCACCCTGATGCCCCTGTTACCTATTAGTAAATTGGTAGCTGGTAGTTAGACATCTGCTACAGGCTTCTTCCTGAGGGTGTGTAACGAAAAAAGGAGGTCTGCTCGAGGACCGTGCCGCGGGGACGCTAAGCCCCCGAAATCATCTCAAGATAACCCGGTTAATTCCTCTGAGAATATTGCGGGTGGTGATTATGTTTTTCCTTATTGTTCTGTCTTCAGGCATTTGAGGTTTAGCTCCCGTCGCCCTTCCTCATTGCTCTTATCTCTCAGGTCTGGGACTAGTTTTGTGGCATACCTCTGGATCTTCTCTAATTTTGTCTAGTGTTTAACTAGGAATGGACTCCAGGCTGGCACTGCATATTCCAGGAATGGTCTGACATACGTGGTATACAAGGTCCTGAACGATTCCTTACACAAGTTTCTAAAGGCAGTTCTTATGTTTACCAATCTAGCATATGCCGCTGATGATATCATTTTGATGTGGGCCTCTGGGGACAGGTTCGGTGTGATATCAACCCCCAGATCTTTTTCTTTATTTGACTCTTGCAGGATTTCACCTCCCAGATGGTATCTAATATTTAGCTTTCTACTCCTTTCGCCTAATTTCATTACTATACACTTTGCTGAGTTGAACTTTAGTAGCCGTTTTCTAGACCATTCCTCCAATTTGTCCAGGTCGTCCTGTAGTCTATGTCTATCATCATCTGTCTTGATTCTTCTCATAAATTTTGCATCATCAGAAAACATTTAGAGGAATGAGTTTATACCCTCTGAAAGATCGTTTACATATATTAGAAACAGGACAGTTCGAAGTACAGAGCTCTGTGAGACTTCGCTGGTGACGTCTCACACTCTGATGTCTCCCTCCTCACAGTTACTCGCTGCTTCCTGTTGATTAGATACTCCATTATTCACTGGAGCACCTTACCTTTTACTCCAGCCTGTTGCTCCAACTTTTGTAACAGCCTTTTGTGAGGTACTGTGCCAAAGGCTTTGTGACATTCCAATAAAACGCTGTCCACTCACCATTCTTTTTCTTGCCTAATTTGTGTTGCTTGGTCATAGAATTCTATTAAACCTGTGAGGCACTAGGTGTTTTCCACCTAGTTTGTTGTATGAATGTATTCCTGATGTAGCCGTGAGAGCTCCTGATGTAGCCGCGTGAGCCCCTGATGTTGCCATGAAGCTCCTGATGTAGCCATGAGAGCCCCTGATGTAGCCTTGAGAGCTCCTGATGTAGCCTTGAGATCTCCTGATGTAGCCTTTAGAGCTCCTGATGTAGCCTTGAGAGCTCCTGATGTAGCCTTGAGAGCTCCTGATGTAACCTTGAGAGCTCCTGATGTAGCCATGAGAGCCCCTGATGTAGCCGTGAGAGCTCCTGATGTAGCCGTGAGAGCTCCTGATATAGCCGTGAGAGCCCCTGATGTAGCCGTGAGAGCGCCTGATGTAGCCGTGATCGCCCCTGATGTAGCCGTGAGTGCTCCTGGTGTAGCCATGAGAGCTCCTAATGTAGCCGTGAGAGCTCCTGATGTAGCCGTGAGAGCTCCTGATGTAGCCGTGAGAGCTCCTGATGTAGCCGTGAGAGCTCCTGATGTAGCTGTGAGAGCGCCTGATGTAGCCGTGAGAGTTCCTGATGTAGCCGTGAGAGCTCCTGGTGTAGCCGTGAGAGCCCCTGATGTAGCCGTGAGAGCTCCTGATGTAGCCGTGAGAGCTCCTGATGTAGCCGTGAGAGCTCCTGATGTAGCCGTGAGAGCTCCTGATGTAGCCGTGAGAGCTCCTGATGTAGCCGTGAGAGCTCCTGCTGTAGCTATGAGAGCTCCTGATGTATCCGTGAGAGCTCCTGATGTAGCCGTGAGAGCTCCTGATGTAGCCGTGAGAGCCGCTGATGTAGCGGTGAGAGCTGATGTAGCCGTGAGAGCTCCTGATGTAACCGTGAGAGCTCCTGATGTAGACGTGAGAGCGCCTGATGTAGCCATGAGAGCTCCTGATGTAGCCGTGTGAGCCCCTGATGTAGCCGTGAGAGCTCCTGATGTAGCCGTGAGAGCGCCTGATGTAGCCGTGAGAGCTCCTGATGTAGCCGTGTGAGCCCCTGATGTAGCCGTGAGAGCTCCTGATGTAGCCGTGTGAGCCCCTGATGTAGCCGTGAGAGCTCCTGATGTAGCCGTGAGAGATCCTGATGTAGCCGTGAGAGCTCCTGATGTAGCCGTGTGAGCCCCTGATGTAGCCGTGAGAGCTCCTGATGTAGCCGTGTGAGCCCCTGATGTAGCCGTGAGAGCTCCTGATGTAGCCGTGTGAGCCCCTGATGTAGTCGTGAGAGCTCCTGATGTAGCCGTGTGAGCCCCTGATGTAGCCGTGAGAGCTCCTGATGTAGCCGTGAGAGATCCTGATGTAGCCGTGAGAGCTCCTGATGTAGCCGTGTGAGCCCCTGATGTAGCCGTGAGAGCTCCTGATGTAGCCGTGTGAGCCCCTGATGTAGCCGTGAGAGCTCCTGATGTAGCCGTGTGAGCCCCTGATGTAGCCGTGAGAGCTCCTGATGTAGCCGTGAGAGCCCCTGATGTAGCCGTGAGAGCTCCTGATGTAGCCGTGTGAGCCCCTGATGTAGCCGTGAGAGCTCCTGATGTAGCCGTGAGAGATCCTGATGTAGCCGTGAGAGCTCCTGATGTAGCCGTGTGAGCCCCTGATGTAGCCGTGAGAGCTCCTGATGTAGCCGTGAGAGATCCTGATGTAGCCGTGAGAGCTCCTGATGTAGCCGTGAGAGATCCTGATGTAGCCGTGAGAGCTCCTGATGTAGCCGTGAGAGATCCTGATGTAGCCGTGAGAGATCCTGATGTAGCCGTGTGAGCCCCTGATGTAGCCGTGAGAGATCCTGATGTAGCCGTGAGAGATCCTGATGTAGCCGTGAGAGATCCTGATGTAGCCGTGAGAGCTCCTGATGTAGCCGTGAGAGATCCTGATGTAGCCGTGAGAGCTCCTGATGTAGCCGTGAGAGATCCTGATGTAGCCGTGAGAGCTCCTGATGTAGCCGTGTGAGCCCCTGATGTAGCCGTGTGAGCCCCTGATGTAGCCGTGAGAGATCCTGATGTAGCCGTGAGAGATCCTGATGTAGCCTTAATGATACGTCATTATCATTTCTTGCTTCCACTCCATAAATAATTTGTCAAAAACTTTCATTTGGGTTCCTTCACCAGTTCTTTCTTTCCATATCTTTTCTCCTCCCTCTAGGTCCCTCGTTCCCTCGCCTGTCAGATTATTCAGTCATGACTGAAGTCCCCGTAACTGCCAGTATCCCAGCCTCATCCTCTAGGTAGCGTCTATTACCCACTGAAGAATTTATATTACAGCGTTGTTTGCGAACTGTTCCTCCCGCTGCCTGGGTCCTGTGGGGTTTACTGTGGGACTACGTGAGCCACTCCATCCCACACTTTTCACTTTTCAGTGGTGTTGGTCGTGGGTCATAGGCTGTGTCTGTTCACCACCTCTTTTGGGATTACATCATATATAAGGGTCCTTTTAGCCAACAATACTCTTTCCTCATTGCTAGCTAATATTGAATATGTTATCAATCCAGTTAGTTTAGTTTCTGCTATTGCTATTATGTCGTCATTGGTACCCCACAGCTCATCTAACTTAATAGTCCATCAGCATAGGCATGCAAGACGTTAAGGTTCTTATTTATATTTGGATATAAATAGGAGCTGCCTCGTATGGGTCAATTGGCCTTCTGTAGTTACCTTCATTTTAATGTTCTTATGTTCTTAACCTTCACTCTGGCCCTGCCTCCTATATCACCGTCAGGCTAGCTTCAGGATAGTGGTTGGCGTCAGGAAGAAGCTGGAATTGTGTTGGGACGTCAATTTGTTGTAGGGGATCAGAGGAGAGAAACGATCACATATAGGTTTAAGAGCGTGGGAAGGAGGTTATGTGTAAGCTGGGAGTGTCATGGGGCTCTGATGGAAGGATCTCAGGGAAGAGGGGGCTAATCCCGTCCATGTGGGAGAATAAATAGAAGGGAAGAGATACTCTGGAAGTTGTGAGAGGAGACGTGTGGCTTGTGGTGTATCGGGGCGCGCCAGAGATGGTTGGGAGGGTGAGTTGGAGAGAAAGCATTTCAGTAACAACAACAGGAGACGGGATAAGGGAAGGAGTGGAGTAATTGAGACTGGAGGTTGCCTGAGTTGAGGCAGGGTTACGGGGGGGGGGGGGGAGGGACCGCCCAGAGGGAAGGTGTTGGGAGCACCAGAAAGGGCTTTAGAGAGATTGTGTGTGTGTGTGTGTGTACTTACCTAATTGTACTTACCTACTTGTGCTTGCGGGGGTTGAGCTCTGACTCCTTGGTCCCGCCTCTCAACCATCAATCAACAGGTGTACAGGCTCCTGAGCCTATTGGGCTCTATCATATCTACACTTGAAGCTGTGTATGGAGTCAGCCTCCACCACATCACTTCCTAATGTATTCCATTTATCTACTACTCTGACACTGAAAAAATTCTTTCTAACGTCTCTATGGCTCATTTGGGCATTCAATTTCCACCTGTGTCCCCTAGTGCGTGTGCCCCTTATGTTAAAAAGTCTGTCTTTATCTACCCTTTCATATCCTCTGAGAATCATGTATGTGGTGATCATGTCCTCTCTAACTCTTCTGTCTCCCAGTGACGTGAGGTTTAATTCCCGTAGTCTCTCCTCGTAGCTCATACCCCTCAGTTCTGGTACTAGTCTGGTGGCAAACCTCTGAACCTTTTCCAGTTTAGTCTTATGCTTGACTAGATATGGACTCCATGCTGGAGCCGCATATTCAAGGATTGGTCTGACATATGTGGTATATAATGTTCTGAAAGTTTCCTTACACAAGTTTCTAAAGGCCGTTCTTATGTTAGCCAACCTGGCATATGCCGCTCATGTTATCCTCCTGATATGGGCTTCAGGGGACAGGTCTGGCGTGATGTCAACCCCCAGGTCTTTCTCTCTCTCTGACTCTTGCAGGATTTCATCTCCCAAATGATACCTTGTATCTCGTCTCCTGCTTTGTACACCTATCTTCATTAAATTACATTTGCTTGGGTTAAACTCTAACAACCATTTGTTCGACCATTCCTGCAGCTTGTTCAGGTCTTCTTGAAGCATTAAGCTGTCCTCCTCTGTCTTAATCCTTCTCATAATTTTGGCGTCGTCAGCAAACATTGAGAGGCATGAGTCTATACCCTCTTGGAGAACATTTACGTATATCAGAAACAGGATAGGTCCGAGAACTGAGCCCTGTGGGACTCCACTGGTGACTTCACGCCAATCTGAGGTCTCACCCCTCCCTGTAACTCTCTGCTTCCTATTGCTTAGGTACTCCCTTATCCACTGGAGCGCCCTACCAGTTACTCCTGCCTGTTTCTCTAGCTTATTCATCAGCCTTTAATGGGGTATTGTGTCAAAGGCTTTCCGACAATTCCACAAAAATGCAGTCCGCCGATCCTTCTCTTTCTTGCTTAATCTTTGTCACCTGATCGTAGAATTCTATTAAGCCTGTAAGGCAAGATTTACCCTCCCTGAACCCATGTTGATGGGTTGTCACGAAGTCCCTTCTCTCCAGATGTGTTACTAGGTTTTTTCTCACGATCTTCTCCATCACCTTGCATGGTATACAAGTTAAGGACACTGGCCTAATGTTCAGTGCCTCTTGTCTGTCGCCCTTTTTGTATATTAGGACTACATTAGCCGTCTTCCGTATTTCTGGTAGATCTGCCGTTTCCAGTGACCTACTATACACTACGGAGAGAGGCAAACAAAGTGCTCCTGCACACTCTTTCAATACCCTTGGTGAGATTCCGTCCGGCCAAAAAGCCTTTCTCGCGTCCAGCTCCAATAGGTGCCTCTTGACCTCATCTTTTGTAATTTCGAACTCTTCCAAGGTCGCCTGGTTTGCTGCCACCTCTCCTAGCGCCGTGACCTCTCCTTGTTCTTTTGACTGCATGCGTGAGTGCGTGTGTGTGCGTGCGTGTTGTGTGTGTGTGTGTGTGTGTGTGTGTGTGTGTGTGTGTGTGTGTGTGTGTGTGTGTGTGTGTGTGTGTGTGTGTGTGTGTGTGTGTGTGTGTGTGTGTGTGTGTGTGTGTGTGTGTGTGTGTGTGTGTGTGTGTGTGTGTGTGTGTGTGTGTGTGTGTGTGTGTGTGTGTGTGTGTGTGTGTACTCACCTAGTTGTGTTTGCGGGGGTTGAGCTCTGGCTCTTTGCTCCCGCCTCTCAACCGTCAATCAACAGGTGTACAGATTCCTGAGTCTTATGGGCTCTATCATATCTACACTTGAAACTGTGCATGGAGTCAGCCTCCACCCCATCACTGCCTAATGCATTCCATTTGTCAACCACTCTGACAGTAAAATAGTTCTTTCTAATATCTCTGAGGCTCATTTGGGCACTCAGTTTCTACCTGTGTCCCCTAGTGCGTGTGCCCCTTGTGTTAAATAGCCTGTCTTTATCTACCCTATCAATTCCCTTGAGAATCTTGAATGTGGTGATCATGTCCCCCCTAACTCTTCTGTCTTCCAGTATGTGTGTGTGTGTGTGTGTGTGTGTGTGTGTGTGTGTGTGTGTGTGTGTGTGTGTGTGTGTGTGTGTGTGTGTGTGTGTGTGTGTGTGTGTGTGTGTGTGTGTGTGTGTGTGTGTGTGTGTGTGTGTGTGTGTGTGTGTGTGTGTGTGTGTGTGTGTGTGTGTGTGTGTGTGTGTGTGTGTGTGTGTGTGTGTGTGTGTGTGTGTACTCACCTAATTGGACGAAGATGTGTGTACTCACACTTATGGACGAAGAGCTGGTGGTCGCGAGAGGGAACAGTAATTGCAAGAATCCGTCTTGAACACAAATAGCACTGGAGATTCTGAATGGATACAACTGTCTAGCAGCGGAGTTACAGACTCTGTGGTGAGAGTAACAGACACCGCCTTGACAACTACCCGAGATGTTGTCAACATCTAAGAGTCATTAGAAATATGTGTAGAATAATAAACCCCACATTGTTTGAGTTAGGAAAACACTATTTGTCAAATATTTTTACTATTATTAAAAGATTCCTCCATTTTGCATCCGCTAGATAGCGTAATATTTAAAGGATTAACAAATGTTAATCTTCTTTTTTGAGGAGCTGTTTACTTGAGACAGTTAAGCAAGTCCCAGCTGTGTCTGGGAGGTGAGGCCTGGACTGGTACAAGTGACAGGATCAACAACCCAGCGGCATTTCTTCCTATTGGGGAGTGTTGTATACTTTGCTATGGCGGTGTTTCCACTCACAGGATGAGTGGCGCTGCCCAATAAACTCTCCCCTAGGGATGAAATATTAACAAATTAAACACTCACAAGTAACGCTGATGGGCGCCTGAGCTGTGATACCAACAACAACAACAAGCTTTAACATCATTTAGCGATCTGATTCACGACGCGGAAATTGTGTTTCATTGTCAGCTGCCGTGGACGCCTTAAAGCTGAGTCGACGGGGACCGGCAGCCAGGACCAGAGGGGCGGTCACGGGAGAGTGAAGAGGGGAGGGAGAGGGGACGGTCAGGTCTCCAGAGGGAAGAGTGGGAGGGTAGAGAGAAGATATACGTGGCTTTCCATGTGAGGGTGTGGCCAGGGAGGTGAAGGTGTGGCCAGGGAGGTGAGGGTGTGGCCAGGGAGGTGAGGGTGTGGCCAGGGAGGTGAGGGTGTGGCCAGGGAGGAGGTGAGGGAGGTGAGGGGTGGCCAGGGAGGTGAGGGGTGTGGCCAGGGAGGTGAGGGTGTGGCCAGGGAGGTGAGGGTGTGGCCAGGGAGGTGAGGGTGTGGCCAGGGAGGTGAGGTGTGGCCAGGGAGGTGAGGGTGTGGCCAGGGAGGTGAGGGTGTGGCCAGGGAGGTGAGGGTGTGGCCAGGGAGGTGAGGGTGTGGCCAGGGGTGAGGGTGTGGCCACGGAGGGAGGTGAGGGTGTGGCCACGGAGGTGAGGGTGTGGCCAGGGAGGTGAGGGTGTGGCCAGGGAGGTGAAGGTGTGGCCAGGGAGGTGAGGGTGTGGCCAGGGAGGTGAGGGTGTGGCCAGGGAGGTGAGGGTGTGGTCAGGGAGGTGAGGGTGTGGCCACGGAGGTGAGGGTGTGGTCAGGG